GTTATGGAGAGAAGTGCGAGTAAAACCCTCCCTGTTGGCTTTTATCTGTGGAGCTTCCATGTGAACAGCTGCTGTTCTCAGCTCTGGGGTGCGGCTGAGCCGTACCCAGCCTGATGCACCGAATGTAGGCCAGAGCTCTCACGCTGTTAGAGAAACAGCCTGCCTTGCAGCTGAGAAGGCGAGGAAAGGTACCATTTGGAGCAAAGAGTGACTTACAGTCAGAGTGCGCCTTCTCCTCTGTACTACCTCCACTCAAACACAGTGAAAAGTCTCCAGATTTACAGTATCTGTGGCTGCCATCAATGCTGGAGCAGAGAATCTATCAAGCGGGAGCTGGGCGCCCGTGCTCGGCGTGGTGTGCAGCAGATAGAACGACAGAGTGAGCCACCTAAGCGAGGCGCTCCTCCTGCTCTACGTTCCTGTTCTATTTTAAGCCCTCAGTTGGACTGATGGCCCAGCACTGGAACGGAAGATCGATTCATTGCATCTAAAGAAGGAAATGTCTGATACGTAGCTGCAGCTCTAAGTGGCTCTGCATCATTTTTGGTCATGCATTATAGAGCCAGAAATGCAGTTGTGTATTACTGTAGCAGCTGCATAAAAAACAGGCCGTACATGTCTGAAGCTACATAAGCTTATGTTTCCTGTCATTGTTTTTTTTTCTTTTTTTTTTAACACACATCATCTCTATCGTAAAACAGCATGTCTGTGTATGTGTGCTGGAAAGATGCTCTGATTTGTTACTACATGCATGCTGAGGAGCAGAAAGGTTGTCACATAGGCAGGCAGAGGATACCTCTCATGTATTCACTTCTGTCTTCCTGCTGTCAGTGCGTGCAGCTGTTGGACAGTCATGTGGTCAATATGTTATTCCAAATACCCAAAAAGACAGAAACACGAGGGACTAAAACGTAGATTTTTTTATGTAAAAATGGCAGCAGTTTGGACTGTCTCAGAATCAGTGAAGGAACCTGAATGTTCAGTATTTATTAGAAATAAACTCATTATTTCTTCTTTAGGTGTTATTTACATTACATAAAGCAAAAAAACAAAGTCAACTCAGTGTCTGTGGACCGAAACTATCCACCAATTTTTGTGTGCTTTGTGTGAATTTTTAAATTTGTAGTTTTGTATTTGTTTTAGTGTATGGATACAGTCCCAGCAGTGTCTGTTATATTTTAGTGCATCTAAAGGGCTCGACACACGGGGAGCGACAAACTACAGCGATTAACGGCTGTCATCGCAGCCAGGGTGAAACCCGACACACGGGACGCGATACCGATCGCAGCGTTGCGAATCGTGCTCTCAGGTCGTTTGTCTTCACAAAATTTGATTGGTTCTTCTACTGCCTCTTGTAAAGGTTATTGGTGGTTCACAAAAAAGGGGGGTGTGCGTTACGGACGTGTAAACTAAACAAATCTTGGCGATGCTAATGATATTGAAAAACAAACTCAGACCAAGAAACAATTTTATGAGGAAAAACTTTCCGGATAACTTCACCCTGGCGCCAACAAATTCCCACAAAGCTTTTTAGTAATCACTTGGTGAAAGTGTTAGCTAACGGCAGTGTGCAGCATACTCTCCTCTCATTGGTCAGTCAACGAAACCCTCGCTGATTGGTTGTACGCTAAGCGACAGCAACAAAAGTTGAACATTTTTCAACTTTCATATGTCGCGTCGCAAGCTCGCGTGTGCACGTCTACGTGTACGAGCGCAAAATTTCACATGCACTATTTTCGCCGGTCGCTTAGCTGGAGGNGCTTAGCTGGAGGAGGGCAAGCGATTGTCGCCTCACCGCACAGGCTCCATAGGAAATGAATGGAGAGCGAGCGACGTTGCCTCCCGTGTGTCGAGCCCTTTACGGTGTATTCACACTGGCCCTGCTATGTCTGCTTTGATTGAACTCTAGTTCGTTTGCCTAGAAAGTTTGGTTTGTTTGCGGAGGTGTGAATGTGTAATCAAACTCTGACGCGGACCAAAATAAGCTAACTCTGGTCCGTCTATATACCTATATCTCAGCTTGGTTGACGTGAACTCCGGAGCGGTTCGAATGCATATGTGAATGCCAAGCTGACTAAACAGGAAGCGGACTACAGAGCAGGGTATTCTGGGTAGATACAACCAAAACAAACGTGCGTGTCTAGTGGTAGCATGAGAAATGACTTGTGGTCATTTGTCAAAGACAAAAGAGGAATCCTACAACCGCTAAAATCTGACGTCACTCCATTTTCTTTGAAGAAGGAAGTTGCGCTGTGTCTTGTTCAGAGGTTTTCGTGTTGTTTACTTCAGTGGTTCTTGGCGCAGCGCCACCACAGGCGAGTGGGGGAACAGGTTGCTGAAAGAGTTTGGTACGTTTGTGCAGAGTGACAATGAACCACACCATCACCAATCAAACTGAGTCTACCAGACTATCAGGTGTGAAAACACCCTTAAAGTTTATTATTTAAACCATCTCTGAGTGTTATTTTAGAGGAACAGTATGGTTCCAACCCAGTAAACAATTCATCCCGATGAATAAGTCAAAATAATCTGTGTTCAGGTGGGTTTTATCAGATCAGGGTTGGCTTTGTTTTATTGATTGATCATTCATGTCATTACCAAACAACCTCGTAATGAAAGTCATATGTAAAAACAGAGCTGACAGATTTCTGTTTATTTCTATATTCACTGAAACCTACAGTAAGTGTGTCATCATAAAGAGACCCAGGGTTAATCAGTCCTAGACTATGTAGGAGTTGGTAAAAACCCTTTCTGTGATCAGACCCACCAGCCCCGTCAGAGTCCACTGAGTCACCGGATCTGATTCACTCTGATAATGTGTCAGTGGACAGAACCATGCTAAAACTGTCTGAAGACTCTCAATTAAACATAAAACTATCTTGACCACTGCAATCACAGAAAATTAGTTTTGTTTGGGAAAACTCTCAAAGAAGTGACCGAACAACATTAAAACAGGATTTTAGCTTAAAATATCTCGAATGAAAACTGATTTTCTATGTTTGTAGTTCTGGTCAAATAAGGAAATAAGTCTCAACTTGTCTGAACTTTAGGGCTGCAACTAACCATTATTTTAATAATCGATTAATCTGTCGATTATTTTTTTGATTAATCGATTAATTGGCCAAATCATTAAAATGCTTGATGACATGAATATGAGTAGAGATAAATTAATTTCATTCCAGTATAAATTAGGGATGCAAGTTATTGATTATTGAATTAATCTGAAGTTGATCTATCTTATAGATTGACTAACAATTAATTAATAAGTAGCCATTTTCTTAAAAACCAGAGTTTTATCTTGAATCAAGAGGGTCTTCCCATAAAATGAAGGATTTTTT